TTTTTTGGGGAATTTTCTCCCAACCCCCCAAAATCCCAAAATTTGGGAAAAAGCCCCAAAATTCCCAACCTTCCAATAAAAAAACCCCCAAATTTGTATAAAAATCCCCCAAAATTCAATTTTTTCCCCCCCAAAATTCCATTTTCCCCCCAAAATTTGCCTGATTTTCACCGGGTTTTTTTTTTGGGAATTCTCTCCTGACATCCCAAAAATCCCAAAATTTGGGATAAAACCCCAAAATCCCTCAGAAATTGGCACAAATCCCTCAAAAAATTGGCGCCAAACACCAAAAAAATTCAATTTTTTCCATAAAAATTCCATTTTTTCCCCAAAATTCGCTCGATTTTCACCGGGTTATTTTTCGGGATTCTCTCCCAGTCCTCCAAAAATCCCAAAATTTGGGATAAATCCCCAAAATCCCTCAAAAATCAACAGAAACCCTCTAAATGTGGTGTAAAAAACCGTCCAAAATTCAAATTTTTTCCCTAAAAATTCCCTTTTTTCCCCAAAATTCGCCCGATTTTCACCGGGTTTTTTTTGGGAATTCCCTCCCGACCCCCCCAGAAATCCCAGATTTTGTTCAAAGGCCCCAAAATGCCCCAAAATTCCAGGAGGGAACGTGCACACGCACTACCACGAGGAGAAGTGCTACGAGGAGGGGCTGCACTTTTACCACCTGCGCTGCCACCGCTGGAGCCCCGGGCACCCCCTGGAGACCCCCAACGGTGGGCGCCAAAACGGGGGGAAATGGGGAAATCTGGGGGGAAACGTTGGGCGAAAATCGGGTGAAAATTGGGCGAAAATCGGGTGAAAGTTGAGTGAAAGTTGGGTGAAAAATGAGGGAAAATTGGGTGAAAATTGGGTGAAAAATGAGGGAAAATTGGGCGAAAATCGAGTGAAAATTGGGTGAAAATTGGGTGGAAATTGGGTGAAAATTGGGTGGAAATTGGGTGAAAATCAAAAATTAGGGAAAATTGGGTGAAAATCGAGTGAAAATTGGGTGAAAATTGAATGAAAATTGGGTGAAAAATGAGGGAAAATAGGGTGAAAATCGGGTGAAAATTGGGTGAAAAATGAGGGAAAATTGGGCAAAAATCGGGTGAAAGTTGGGTGAAAATCGAGTAAAAACTGGGTGAAAATTGGATGAAAATCGGGTGGAAATTGGGTGAAAATTGGGTGAAAATTCAGTGAAAATCGGGTAAAAACTGCGTGAAAATCGGGTGAAAATTGGGTGAAAAATGAGGGAAAATTGGGCGAAAATCGGGTGAAAATTAGGTGAAAAATGAGGGAAAATCGGGTGAAAATTGGGTGAAAAATGAGGGAAAATCAGGTGAAAATTGGGTGAAAATTGGGTGAAAATTTAGTGAAAAAAGGGCAAAAATTAGGTGATAATTGGGTGAAAATTAGGTGAAAATTGAGTGAAAAAAGGGCAAAATTAGGTGAGAATTGGGGGGAAAATGGAGGAGAAATGAGCAAAAACCTGGGGAAAAATGGGTGGAAATTGAGTGAAAATTGAGTAAATAAAGGGCAAAAGTTGGGGGAAAATTGGGTTAGGTGAAAAATTAGGGAAAATTGGGTGAAAATTGGGTGAAAATTGGGTGAAAATTGAAGTGAAAAAGGGCAAAAATTAGGTGAGAATTGGGGGGAAAATGGAGGAGAAATGAGCAAAAACCTGGGGAAAAATGGGTGGAAATTGAGTGAAAATTGAGTAAATAAAGGGCAAAAGTTGGGGGAAAATTGGGGGAAAATGGAGGAAAAATGGGGAAAATTGGGGGGAAATGAAGGGAAAAGGGGAAAATTGGGGAAAAAAGGGAATTTTTTTTCGGGGGATTTCGGGGCTTTTTGGGGCAATTTTGGGGTTGTGATTTTTGGGTGGATTTTGGGTGAAAAGTGGGCAAAAATTGGGGAAAAAAATTGGGGATTTTGGTGCAAAATTCGATACTTTTGGGGGGATTTTGGGGCTTTTTGGGACAGTTTTGGGGTGGGAATTTTTTTGGGGGGATTTTTGGGTGAAAATTGGCTGGAAAATGGGCAAAAATTGGGCAGAAATTGGGGATTTTGGTGCAAAATTTGATCGTTTTGGGGGAACTTTGGGGCTTTTTCGGGGAATTTTGGGTGAAAAATGGGCAAAAATGGGGCAAAATTGGGGATTTTGATGCAAAATTTGATTATTTTGGGGGGATTTGGGGGATTTTGGGGCAATTTTGGGTTTGGGATTTTTGGGTGAAAATTGGGTGAAAAATGGGCAAAAATTGGGCCAAAAATGGGGATTTTGGTGCAAAATTTGATTGTTTTGGGGGAATTTTGGGGGCAAAAATTGGGGATTTTGGTGCAAAATTTGATCGTTTTGGGGGAACTTTGGGGCTTTTTCGGGGAATTTTGGGTGAAAAATGGGCAAAAATGGGGCAAAATTGGGGATTTTGATGCAAAATTTGATTATTTTGGGGGGATTTGGGGGATTTTGGGGCAATTTTGGGTTTGGGATTTTTGGGTGAAAATTGGGTGAAAAATGGGCAAAAATTGGGCCAAAAATGGGGATTTTGGTGCAAAATTTGATTGTTTTGGGGGAATTTTGGGGCATATTTGGGGTCGGGATTTTTGGGGGGTTGAGCAAAATTTGGGTGAAACATGGACCAAATATAGGGAAAAAAATGGGGATTTTGGTGCAAAATTCGATGGTTTTGGGGGGGAATTTTTGGGGGAATTTCAGGTTTGGGATTTTTGGGATTATTTTGGGGGTCCTGGGTTGGATTTTGGGAGGATTTTGAGCTAAAAATGGGTGAAAAACGGGGATTTTGGTGCAAAATTTAATTTTTCTGGGGGGGGGATTTTGGGGCTTTTAGGAGGAATTTTGGGGTTGGGAATTTTGGGGGTCCTGGATTGGATTTTGGGGCGATTTTGGGGGGGACTTTGGGTGGATTTTTGAGGTTTTTGGGGCTTTCCGAGTGGCGGTTTTCGGGTTTTTGGTGGGCTTTTTCAGGATATTTTTCATTTTTGTATTTTTTTTCCTTTTTCCCCCCAAATCCCACTGCAGAGCCGGGGTCCCCCGGGGGGGGGCGTTACTCCCACGTTTCGGGGGTCCTGGCCGGGCAGGTGCTCCTGGTGGCCGGGGGCTTCTCGGGGACCCCTCGGGGCGACCTCAGAGCCTACAAAGTTCCCTCCTTCGTCCTCCAGCGCAGCGTGAGTGACCCAAAAGGGCCCAAATTCAGCCCAAAAATCCCCAGTTACGGGGCCAGAATTACACTGAAAACAGCACAAAATTACACTGAAAAAATCCCAAAATTT